ATTACTACAGTAAAACTCCAGTGGTCCGGCATCCAATGGTCCGGCAACATCTGGAATCCAGAAGTGCTCCGGGCAGCTGGGCAATTGGAGCTGCTCTGCCCCCAGCTTCCCCGATTCAGCTGCTGCTGAGACTGACCAGCGGCTGACTCGGGGAAGCCCAGGGCAGAGCAGCTCCAATTGTCTGGCTGCCTGGAGCACTTCTGGGTTTCAGGTGGTGCCGGACTATTAGGAGTGCCGGACCACTGGATGCCGGACAACTGGAGTTTTACTGTATTTGGTATTTTTTGGTGATTTCTAGTGCTACTAACTTAGGCTACATCTAAATGTAGGAGTACAGGGTCTTTCGAAAAGGTGCCCCATTGTCGAAAAAATCCCCCCCCTTTTCGATAGTCTGGCATATCTAATAATCTGGCACCCCCTGGGTCCTAAAGGTGCCGTCTTATCGGAAATTTACTGTAATAGGGTTGGCAAACATCCATTTTTAACAGAATACCTGGCCGAAAAGAGATCCTGGAAGCGCCAGTCAACACTGTTGAGATTACTGTTAAAAGTTTGGATAGCAATGCAGTGAGACTAAAGCAGGCTCCCTACCTGCATCCCAGACTCTTCATGCAGGGCCTACACAGCAACTGGAGCCTTCACCCCCACGTACCCCAGCCCAGAGCCTCCTCCTGCACTCTTTATGTCTGGCCCCACCTTGGAGCTTGCACTTCAGCCAAAGCCCTCACCCTTTCCTGCAACCTTGCCCCAGTCCAATGAAAATCTGGAGAGTGAGGGGGAGTAAGCAACAGCAACCGAACAGTGGAGTGGATGGGGATAGGATCCCAGGGATGGGATTGGGCAAGGGTGTTCAGTTTTCTGTGATTTGAAAGTTGGGAATCCTAATTACTAACCCTTAGAAAAGAAGGATTTCTAGTAGAAATGCTGATAAATCTGTACCTATAGTAGTGACTGTCTCGGTATTATAAAATATCAAGTGGGTTCATAGCATATTAAAACCCATCTGTCCGTACCTACTGTAGCATTTTCCAACACCTGCTGAAAGATTTATGGGGGAAATAAAGGAAGTAAAACAGCAGGAGAATAAACAAAGAAAGAAGAATGAAGATAAGCAAAATAAATGAGAGGATTAATAAAGAGAAAACCTACCTTATATTCCTACTTATGAAAAGACTTAAATTAAAATGATTTGTACAGTTAAAGTTCGTCTAATAAAAATAGCATATATTTTCTCATTATTTTGTAGATATTAATCAGGACTTTGAAGTTGCAGAGACAAGTTTTTACCACTTCTCCTATTTCTGACCTATTTGAGAAAGTTTTCTCTCCTAAGGTCATTATTTCACCAATCTTGCAACCATGGACACATTATAATTCAGCTTGCAGATGCGTTCACTCTAACTGCAGACAGTATCAAATATCTTTGGTTATAATTTAATGTCAGATGATATTGTATCTTCCTTTTTTACATTCACGGTCTCTCTCACCAAGTAGAGACATTTCTTATAGAAAAATTGAACCACGCAAGTTCAGTACCATAATAAATAAAAACTAATTTAATTTGGATAGCCTAACCAAACACACAACCATTTTTTGTAAATAGAAACACTTTCTGACCTTTTAAGTTACTTGATTTGTAGTGATTCTCTACAATTCATAAAATTAGAATGTTGGATACAGTTTTGAGCCTTTGTCTCTGGTGAATAATTTAAATACAACTATGGCCTAATTGACAGATTTCATAGCCAGATGCCTTTATAGAAAAAAATTAATAGACCAGAAAATGACTAGTGGAAGCATGCTTAACAAAGTATGGATTTAAAACTCAGTATAGCTTCCTCATTCCAATATATATTCGTATATAGTTTGCCACCGAGTTTTTCATTAAAACAAATAAATTAAATAAAATTAAAGTAAATAAAATAAACAAGGAGAATTACACAAATTAAAACTCTAAATGTGGATGGATAAGTGAATTACATTAGTTAGCCTGACTTCCTTGTTTGCATATAGACCTTAATGGTCTTTGCTTTTACCTTTATCTGTTAGGGAAAATTCTGATATGTTTGGCATTAAAAGAAAATGTCATTTTCTTGTGTTTTCTAGGTTATGCTTATTTTTAATAAGCTGTAAAGTTTATTTTTGTTCAGATCTGTTTTGAAGCTCTGTTAAGCAACAGCTTTGAGTAAGATCAGACTCATCTTCAGTAAATTACTTAAGCGATGTGTCTTGGTGATTGCCAATTATCTCACTTGGATTTGTAATGCATATTCCCCAATCAGGACCAGTTATACTTTCTTGAGTCATTAGGGGCCTGATGCTTTTCTCGACTATGTCATTGGCAAAATTTCTACTTATTTCAATGAAAACAGGATTGGATCCTCAATGAGTTACTTTGCCTTGGGTTTACATATTCAGCCCTAATGAAAATCATGAATTCAATTTGAAGTAATTTTAGAAGCATTTAAGCAGTGTTGTTGTTTTTTTAAGAGAAACCTTATTACTTATTTAAGCCTGTGTTAAATTTAGCACAGTGTTTAAATGAAAGATGAACTTTCATGATGTTGTTTTACATATGGCACATTGCGTGTGGTCTAGCGGACTATGTTCTCCAGGACCTCCTGGGTCCTAAATCCAGCTTTCCAACAAACACATTCTGTGGCCTTCAAAGGCAAGTCACTATCTTTAGTTGTTTCCCCATATGCAGAAAACCATAATGTAGCTTGTCAGTTTATCTGACAGTGTGTTGAAACAACCTGTAAGTTAATATATCTATAGTAAGATCGTCTGTATGGTGCTTTAAGAAAGGTAACTAGACCACATAATAAATATAGATACTGTATTCAGGGGTGGCCCGTGACTATAGGCGGACTCGGGCGCTGCCACTCGGGGCGCCCGATGATGACATCACGGGGAACCTGGGGCGCCCAATGATTTCAGTCCATTGACGGCCCTGCAGGCGGGGACGCCGATCGCGCATTTCGCCTGGGGTACTAGCTGCCGCAGCCGGCCTCAGGCCACTCCTGACTGTATTCATGATTATGATTGGAAAGGTAGCCTACTGCCTGTCAGAGACCTCTTCATAATGCACCAGGGAAGATGAAAGGCTTCAACCAGACATTCTGATTACATGCCAATGACTCTGGACATGTAAGGAAGGGCAGTTGTTCTACATCCTATACTGAAAGGTTGTGCAAGGGTTTATGAGGATGTGTTTTGGCTGTCCAAAACAGATGTGTGGGAAAACGTTTTTTCTGGTCACTGGGGGTACGTCTACACTGCGGGGTGGAAAAACTCTGCTGCGTCCAAGGAACACGTTTGCTCTTTCACTTTTTTTTTCAGAAGAGCAAACA